TTCTCTTAAAAACATGGCTTAATAAACAGTAATCATCTACAATACATTTTGAGATCTCAAGACATAACTTGTGCTTGACACAACACAACACTGAAGATTGTAATGCCTAAAATATTGTATTTGTTCTAATTCTTCTATGCTGACTTAAGTTAAGAAATAATTTTTAATTGCTTTGGAGAATATTTGGTCACTAATATTGCTCTCAATTTTCTCTGGACACACACAGAAACACTGAAAATTGTAAAACTTCAACATTTATCTCAGAACAGGCTGAAAAAACATGAAAGTCTCCTAAAAGAGCAGGGCAATTTAAGAACTGAGAAAGAGCATGATGAATCTATTTTTCTGCAGTGTGTTGTGCCGTATTTAACATTCAGTGGAAAATAATTTGTATTTTAGAAGCCTTAGATTAAGAGCTCACATTTTCAACTACATGCTTAATAAAAGGCATATTTTTTATTGAGAAACTGAAATTATCTTTAAAAATCCAAAGAAAAAAAGGCAGCCAAATTAGGTGTTCAAATCACAGAAAGCAATTAATTTGACAGCTGCTATCTTTTTTTACACAGCAGGAGAGAAGCACAAAAATGGAGAGAGGTTCCTGAAGATTTCTAATCATTTTAGATGGAAGAACAGATGCTATACAATTTTTGTTTGCTGACAGCCTGCCCTTATCCTAAAAGACTGGCCATTATGTTAGACGAATATAGCAAAAGTGGATGGAAGCTTACTTTATGAAATTATGAAAGGTAACAAAATTCACGCTGCTACAAAGCTCATTATAATGCTATATAGTTCTGTTTAAACCAATAACTACCATGATGCACATGCATAAAACAGTAATATATCTGTCTTGCAAACAGATTACAACCAACCTATGAGTAAATGACTGAAGAAAGCCAGGCTACTGAAGTTTTAAATGTTCAATCTCCATTCACGAAAAGAGTTTCTAACACAGGCACCCATTCATAACAAATACATGCAACTAACGTATTTCTGGTAATATATTTCTTCTTTCTTCATTGCATGCCTTCCAGTTGTTGTTTTTGCTGTTTTACTGGACCAATCAGAATGTATGTTATACATTTTGGAACTGGTCAGTTTAAATATCTTTGTAGTTTTATTGAATTTTTTCTCTATAAAAACTTGATTATAAACTAATATTAGTTAAACCTATACAAACAATAGCTGCAATAAAAGCAATCTACAGCTGGACCATAAAACAAACAATCCCCATTGACCAAAGTCAATTTCCTTTACATTTCAACACACTGGAACAAAGCAGTTTAATTTAGTTCTAAAAACATTAACAAAGATTTGTCTGTTTCTTCTTGTTACTATCACTCTGTCTTGCAAAGGGACAGGTAAACAAACCATGGATGCTTCATAAAGTGTCCAAAGAGACAAAAATGGGAGAGCATCCAATGTAATTCCCAGGAAAAATTGGAGACACATCTCAAAGTGCTCGACATATGATTGCATTATTACAGATAAATCCCAACATGTTCCAGCCCAGGTATGTTTTATGGTCTTCTTCAAGGACTATGTAAAAAAACAGAAAAATAAAAAAGCCAAAATAAAACACATAACATTGCATTAAAAGTCATGTAAATATTTGTACATTGCCTAAATCTATTAATTTTAAATTGGGCTGCAGAAATTTCTGAAGCAGTTACAATGTTCCTTTTGAATCTATTCAAATGTCTCGAGTTATTCTTATGAAGTATCCTCCCATAAGCATCTTTTCTTGCCCAAAAAAGAAGATTGTTTACTCATGACAAGCCAAGGTTCCAAAATTCCTAGATTATCAAATCATGCAAAAGTACGTACAAAATGTGCCAAAAAAACCCCATGGAAATGCACGTATCTTTTCATTCCATATACTGTCACAGAACTGTCAGAAACATGGCCCATGTGTAACTGCATAGTTCTAAGAACCCAACGTCTTTTTAATCTTTATTTCTGCATTTATGAAAATATATCTATTCCACTCTATATGGACATATATGAGGACAGCAAATCCCAGAAGATAAGCAAACATGTCCTGAGCATATTAATATGCTATGCCTACTCTTCGAAAATCCAGTTTTTTCCCTCCAAAATCAATCCAAATTAGTATAGAGAAGATGTTCACATGATGGTTTTCTTCTTAACGCTTTACCATTATTCAAGGAATCATATAAAAGACAATGAGAAGGCAGTCTGCATATGCACAGAAATACATTCTACTGTTAAGAAGTCCTGAAAGAAAGATATTCTGCCTACACTCAATTGTATCTGGTAATATGAAAAGTACCATCTTTTTCCAAGAAATCACAAAAGTGCTTCTTTTTAAAATGTGTATTTTTGACACAAATTGAACTAAAAGATACTGAAAATAAGAAGTATTTTTGGTGTTTAATGTATTGTCGAAGGCTTTCATGGCTGGAATCACTAGGTTCTTGTGGGTTTTTTCGGGCTATAGAGCCATGTTCTAGAGGCATTTCTCCTGACGTTTCGCCTGCATCTATGGCAAGCTTCCTCAGAGGTCTGCTGGAGCTGGGAAAAAGGGGTTTATATATCTGTGGAATGACCAGGGTGAGACAAAAGGCTTTTGTAAGTTGGGCTAGGTGTGAATCTTTTCAAGGTGGTCAGTTGAAAAGATTCACACCTAGCCCAACTTACAAAAGCCTTTTGTCTCACCCTGGTCATTCCACAGATATATAAAAACCCCTTTTTCCCAGCTCCAGCAGACCTCTGAGGAAGCTTGCCATAGATGCAGGCGAAACGTCAGGAGAAATGCCTCTAGAACATGGCTCTATAGCCCGAAAAAACCCACAAGAACCATTTTTGGTGTTGTCTGTTAAAAAGTAGAAAAAACAAAAACAAAAAATCTACATTAGTGAAACACACAAAATAATGTAAAGCAGACCTAAAGCAAACTAAATTAAGACCAGGAATAACAATGATTTGATAATGTACACAGTCTCCGATAAAAGGCTTCCTATTACATTGTTTTTAGGGGGGAAATTGGGGGAAGCAAATATATGAAAAGCTTGTTGTTTTTCATCATTCTAAAAAAATAGCCCATGCAACTTTTTTTTCATTTTCATGTTTTATGGTGGAGAAAGGGCTAGGTTCCCCCATTCCCCACCCCCAATGTTTTCAGTTTGTTTGGGGGGAGGGCTTTACATCTTTAGGACTTCCAAACAAAGCTATACTGTCTGGGTTAGAGCTACCAGAGATGGCAATCTATCCACTCAATTAGGTGTCAGCCAAACAGTTTTCACACAAGAACCAAAAAAATTCTCAGGCAACCGAAAAACACAACCAATTAGATAGAATCACAGATTTGGAAGAGGCTTGATAGACCATAAAGTCCAACTCATGCAAGATCTTCAGCAGGTAGCTATCAAAGCTTCTTTCTGATGCTATCCAGGTAACAGCTGTCCCACAATTTCCCAACTTTCCTTCCATCAGTCTTCATCCTGCTGCTGCGCCTCCTCCATATACTCAGCAGGCTCATTCTCAAAACAGATGCAAAGTGCAGCAGACTGCACAGTTACCCTTTTCATTGGTGAGTGATGAACTGTAAAATTCTAATCCAGATGGACGAATTCAAATTGATGCCTGTTGTAAGGCCGCCTTGAGTCCCCTTTGAGTGAGAAGGGCGGGTTACAAATATTGTAAATAAATAATAAATAAATTCAAACTCTGACACCTTCTACTCCAGAGCATCATTAGGACCTCACCAAGGTGGAGATGAATACTCCTCCCTTTGCATTGCAAACACTAAATACTCCTTCCTTTCCTAACCTGATTTTGAAACTAAATCTTCCCTGTCTCTACTAAGCAGAGGTGGGACGGGACTCAAAGTAATAAGGAGCTGTTGTTCGATTGTATCTTACACAATAAATGTATTGGTGTGATTAGGATTAAAATTGAAATCATTTCTGAAAGCAGATTTGCACAGCCTTTCCGACCTTTAGCAGATGATTTCTAAGAAAGAAAGTGAAGGTGTCTTTTAGGGCAAGCAGCGTCTAGGGACATTACTTCCATTGCAATTGGGCCCTCTCCAAATAAACCATTCCTCTGCTCCAACCCTTGTGCTGAAGTGATCACCAGTTTGCCAGTTGAAATTTACACTTGGATCAAAGGATAGGTAAGGGCACATGGAAGTGGATGAGGAAGACTCGGGCTACTAACCATTAGGACTGAATGCAAGACCTGAGCAGAGCAGCTGATAACATAGTGACTTCGGGTCTCTCTATTGCTAAATGGACTTGATGGCTCTTAAATAAAAAGTCACTGTAGGGTGATGACAATTGAGATTGTAATATGAAAGTGCTTTTCTAATGTGGTCATGATTCAAGTCAGGAACCTAAAAATTTGATGGGCAAAAAAATAAGCTTTTCACCTAAATAGACATTTGTGGATGGAGAGTAGCCAGACTATAAATTATGACTGAGGCCAAAAAGTAGATAAAGAATTAATACCCTCTTTTCCTTCCTGTCTTTATGGCAGTGAAGTTTACTACCCCGATTGGTAATGATTGGGAGAACATTTGCTAATAGATGCAATTACTAATTGCACAAAGAATATATCTCACCCACTTATCTGAGCAATGAATATTACATATTTTGGGGCCCATGATCAATTTCTAGTAATGCGCTTCATGAAGTTCAACATATGACAGCGTATAAAGGCCTCATTAGGTGGTGTTTAGCACTCTTCACAATTATAACCTTGATTCCTCCCTCACTTTAACCTACCAAAAATCTGATGTGCTTCTAATTTTTCTTCACAAGTACATTAATTCCCAGAAAATCAATTCAAAGAGAGGTAAAACATCCTTCTATTACCATTTTTTCACAAAAACAAGAACCAACATATAAAGATTCCATCTTCAAACATACCTACTAACCTTGTCAAAAGAATAAAATGCTTACTTATTTGTTGTAATGTAAAATTATTTAACTCTTACTGTACTGGAAAATGATTCCCCATAAAGGAATTCTTACCTGATACTCTTCTGTTATATCTGTTGACAACAGGAGCTGCAACAAAAACAAGAAAAAGGTATAAATGCTTGTTGAAATCACTAAAACACAAGTATATATTTTGAGAATTCAGATTCTTATCTCTGTCATTAAAGCAAATCTTAATTCTTTTAATTACACATTGGAAGTAAGGTTTCCAAAAAACCAACAGTTTTAAAAACTGTATGCATCAAAAGTAAATAAAACAGATGCATGTGCAGCTTTATTCAACATAGAAGCAGCACATTTAATCAAGGGCTGCATTTGAGTAATACTACTCAAAATAGCGATCCCGTAATTTGTGCTTGTCCCTAGTGCAGGTTCTCAATCTATGGGGCCCCAGATGTTTTGACCTTCAACTCCCAGAAATCCTAACAGCTGGGAAACTGGCTGGGATTTCTGTGTGTGGCAGTCCCAATCCCTGCTACACCTCAAGGAAAAAACAATGTCAGGGCTCAACTTCAGAAAGCTTGACATGTATTGCATTAAGGCACATCATCAACAGCATCTAAATCAGCCTTGTAAAGTAAGAACACAGAAGTTACCACCTTGAATATGGGTTTTCTTGACCTAATGGGAGGAGATTGACAAAGTGCTACATTCTTCTTCCAACAGCTAATTCAGCCTATACTTAAAGACAACAATTTGAGGCTACAAGAGCAGAGATCACACAGTACATTCGAAAATAAAGCTATTTTGGCTGTTACCACTCATGAGTTATGACTGTTGTTATTTAAAATCCCAGAGGCAGTCTAGCTGCTACTACTACAGGAAACACAAGTGGCAAGATGCTACTTCCTACTTCAGGAATAGAATACTCGACTGGACAATAATTGACAGTTTAAATACTTAACCGATTCTGTCAATCAAGTATTTCCAAGTAAAATGATAATTCCCTTTCCTTAGCATTTTCATCATGTTCTACAAGATGCTAACCTTCCCCTAAATAAAGTTTGTACCACCAGCTATCTACCAAGAATATCACTTGGTGTACTTTTGAATGCCACAAAAGAAATATGTGTAATTTACCCAAGAGAGAGGTTGACACTTGTGTTACTGTCTACCTCTCTCTTGAGTAAAATACACATATTCAATTTTAGTAGAATTCAGTCCATTTTGTCTTCCATCAAAGCAAACCTTGCTACAAGTAGGGGGGTATCTGTCTGTCAGAGACTAATAAAGCAACTACAGAACATGCATAGTTAGTTAGGCGATCCCTCGCTTTCCGAGGATGATTGTCTTCCAATATTCTTGTGGGTCCGTATGTGGCTGTGGAGCCCTATTCTTGCTCTGCATCTTCTTCCGCAGTGAGGGCATTGGTTTCCAGGTGGAAGGCGGTCTCGGCCGGGGTTGGCTTGACGCGCCTTCCTCTTAGCACGTTTCTCTTTTTCACCCTCCACTCGTGCCTCCTCAAATTCTGCAGCACTGCTGGTCACAGCTGACCTCCAGCTGGAGCGGTCAAGGGCCAGGGCTTCCCAGTTCTCACTGTCTATGCCAGAGTTTTTAAGGTTGGCTTTGAGCCCATCTTTAAATCTCTTTTCCTGTCCACCAACATTCCGTTTTCCGTTCTTGAGTTCGGAGTAGAGCAACTGCTTTGGAGACGGTGGTCGGGCATCCGGACAACATGGCCGGTCCAGCGGAGTTGATGGCGGAGGACCATCGCTTCAATGCTGGTGGTCTTTGCTTCTTCCAGCACGCTGACGTTTGTCCGCTTGTCTTCCCAAGAGATTTGCAGGATTTTCCGGAGGCAGCGCTGATGGAATCGTTCCAGGAGTTGCATGTGACGTCTGTAGACAGTCCACGTCTCACAGGCATATAGCAGGGTTGGGAGGACAATAGCTTTATAAACAAGCACCTTGGTATCCCTACGGATGTCCCGGTCCTCAAACACTCTCTGCTTCATTCGGAAAAATGCTGCACTCGCAGAGCTCAGGCGGTGTTGTATTTCGGTGTCGATGTTGACTTTGGTGGAGAGGTGGCTGCCAAGGTAGCGGAAATGGTCAACATTTTCTAATGTTACACCATTAAGCTGTATCTCTGGCATGGGAGGGGATGGCTGGTGACTGCTGGAAGAGCACCTTGGTTTTTTCGATGTTCAGTGACAGGCCGAGCTTCCTGTATGCTTCTGCAAAGGTGTTTAGAGTGGCTTGTAGATCTTCTTCTGAATGCGCACAGACGACGTTGTCATCAGCATACTGGAGTTCTATAACAGATGTTGTTGTGACCTTGGTTTTGGCTTTCAGTCTGCTGAGGTTGAATAGCTTGCCATCTGTCCGATAGATGATTTCCACTCCGGTGGGAAGCTTCTCATCAACAAGGTGAAGTATCATAGCAATGAAGATGGAGAATAAGTTGGGGCAATAACACATCCCTGTTTGACACCTGATTCCACCTTAAATGGGTCACTTTGGGAGCCACTGCTGTCCAAGACTGTTGCCATCATGTCATTGTGGAGGAGCCGCAGGATGTTCACAAATTTGCTTGGGCACCCGATTTTGTGGAGGATGGTCCAGAGAGCGCTGCGATTCACTGTGTCGAATGCCTTTGCAAGGTCGATGAATGCCATGTCCAGAGGTTGGTTTTGTTCCCTGCATGATATCTACAAATCTCTTTTTAAAAAAACAAAACCTAAGATATGAAAAGAGACTCCTTTGAAAGAATGACAGATGACTAGCAAAATCTGCACATATCAGAAGCAGTCACTTCCTGATAATGTAATTTTCTTTTAATCCAATACTGGGGGTAAAGTGAGTTTTTAATAAAATAAAAATAAATAATCAGCCTAGTCGATTTAGACTTGTGGTTGACTTGCAGAAGCAGTCCCATTTCAAGATGTTGTAAATACAAATCCATTGCCCCTGCAACACAGAGTAAAAAGGTTTTCTGGCATCTAGCAACATTCTTTACAGAAATTTTACTGAGCTAAAACTATGCAGCTCCTGAGGGAAAAAACAAGCAGCTGACTAAAGCCCTCAAGAAATGCTATTTTATTTCTAAAATTGCAGGAACAACACAGAAGCAGAATGCAAAAGCACTGATATTTCCTTGAAGGCACTTCTTTGTTTCTCAGAACAATTCTTAGAAACAAGGTTTCCAGGTAATTGAGGGGAACTTATCTATTAGAAGTCTACAGCAATTAACATTGAAGCTGAATATGCAGAAACAAATATTTTTCAGAATCACAGTCTAAATTATTTCTCTTTATAAATATTCCACATCCAGGTTTGTTTGGGCATTTTGTTGTCAGATGAGTTGAACCCAGAGCACATGGGAATATGATGAAATCTCTCTTAATGGTGGTAGTTGTTATGGGCCTTCAGGTCACTTCCAACTTACGACAATCCTAACGTGAACCTATCAAGGATTTTCTCGGCCAGATTTGTTCAGCACATATTTGCTTCTGCCGTCTTCTAAAGTTGAGAGAGTACTTTTTGCCCAAGGTCACTCAGTGAGTTTTCATGGCTGCGAAGTGATTTGAACCCTAATCTCCAGAGTCATGGTCCAACATTCAAACCAGTATATCACAGTGGCTCTCAATTCAATAAGAACTAAATGCGCAATTCCAGAGGTTAGCCAGAAGAGATAAGGAACTATTTTTAAATAAGCAATGCATGGAAGTGGAAGAAGACAACAGAATAGGAAGGACAAGAGACCTCTTCCAGAAAATTAGAAACATTGGAGTTAAATTTCAGGCAAAAATTGGTATGATAAGAAACAAAGATGGCAGGGACCTAACAGAAGCTGAAGAGATCAAGAGAAGGTGGCGAGACTATACAGAAGATCTGTATAGGAAGGATAATAATATTGAGGATAGTTTTGACGGTGTGGTGAATGAATTATAACCAGACATCCTGAGGAGTGAGGTTGAATGGGCCTTAAGAAGCATTGCTAACAACAAGGCAGCAGGAGATGACGGGATCCCAGCTGAACTGTTTAAAATCTTAAAAGATGATGCTGTCAAGGTGATGCATGCCATTGCCAGCAAATATGGAAAACACAAGAATGGCCATCAGACTGGAAAAATCAACTTATATCCCCATACCAAAAAAGGGGAAATGCGAAAGACTGCTCAAACTTCCGTACAGTGGCCCTTATTTCTCATGCCAGTAAGGTAATGCTCAAGATCCTGCAAGGAAGACTCCAGCAATACATGGAGCGAGAGTTGCCAGATGTTCAAGCTGGGTTTAGAAAAGGCAGAGGACGAGAGACCAAATTGCCAATATCCGCTGGATAATGGAGAAAGGCAGGGAGTTTCAGAAAAACATCTACTTCTGCTTCATTGACTATTCTAAAGCCTTTGACTGTGTGGATCATAATAAATTGTGGCAAGTTCTTAGTGGGATGGGCATCCCAAGGCACCTTGTCTCTCTCCTGAGGAATCTGTACAAGGACCAAGTAGCAACAGTCAGAACTGACCACGGAACAACAGACTGGTTCAAGATTGGGAAAGGCGTACGGCAAGGCTGCACCCTCTCACCCAACCTTTTTAACTTGTATGCAGAACACATCATGCGATGTGCGGGGCTTGATGAATGCAAAGCTGGGGTGAAAATTGCTGGAAGAAACATTAACAACCTCAGATATGCAGATGACACCACTCTGATGGCCGAAAGCGAGGAGGAGCTGAGGAGCCTTCTAATCAAGGTGAAGAAGAAAGCGCAAAAGCCGGGTTGCAGCTAAACATAAAAAAACCAAGATTATGGCAACAAGAATGATTGACAACTGGAAAATAGAGGGAGAAACCGTGGAGGCCGTGACAGACTTTGTATTTCTAGGTGCAAAGATTACTGCAGATGCAGACTGTAGCCAGGAAATCAGAAGACGCTTACTACTTGGGAGGAGAGCAATGTCCAATCTCGCTAAAATAATAAAGAGTAGAGACATCAGACTGGCAACAAAGATCCGCCTAGTCAAAGCCATGGTATTCCCTGTAGTAACCTACGGATGTGAGAGCTGGACCTTAGGGAAGGCTGAGCGAAGGAAGATCGATGCTTTTGAGCTGTGGTGTTGGAGGAAAG